AAGCCGGAAAAAAGCATCTAGACTGGCCCGATCCTCCGGAATAAAGCCCTTTTCCGGAGGATCTCTTACTTTGAAGTAGGAATAAGAGATCCTCCGGAAAAGGGCTTTATTCCGGAGGATTGCGCCAGTCTAGACGCTTTTTTTCCGGCTTTTCCCCAAGCCGGAAAAAAAGCGACAGACATGTTTATTTAAATCCGCGGGGGATATTTAAATCCCCCGCAGATTTCCCTATCCTGACTTACCTGATTTGCATCCCTTTTCCGGAAATTGTGGCCAGTGTAGATGTAGCCAATGGGTTTGTCCAGTCGGGTTTTAAAAGTCTCATGCTATGGGGGATTTTTGTGAAACTTTCCAAGAATCTAACACCTGCAAGGTATTCCCCAGTCTCCTCCCACAGTTCTCCTTAGTTTGGCTTCAGCGCATGCCTCTTTTGACCGCCCTCGCTCCCCTCCTACTTTGCTGACTCCCTTCAGATCAGAGTCATCATGTTCCCACTTAGTGACTATTTATGTTCACTGGGTCCGTAGCCGGGGCTTCAGCCCCACGGGAAATGTTAACGCCGCTATTCCCAGCCCTGCTGCCTGAGCGCAGCACTTCCGAGTCAGTCGACCCAGGCTCTGAGATCTGTTGCTGTGCTGGGGGCAGAGGGACCGACAGCCTCAGTGGGACCCCGGGCAAGGTCAGGTGTGTGGGGGGACCTGGCTCTGGGCTCCCCAGAGCCTCAGCCGGAAGGGGCGGGACCAAGGCAGCCAGCTCTGTGCCGCCCGGACAGCAGCGCGACCCCCCCGCTGCTCTGGTGGTGATTAAAAGGGTGCGGGGCTCTGGCTACAGCAGGCCTGGCTGGGGGAATTTCTTTGCAATGTGCCATTCTCAGACAGGAAGCCCAAATACCCTCCCTACTTTTGGTTCGAGGGCATCTATGTATTTACCTTGCTCCAGTTTCCAATACGCCAGGATGAACATGGTCTCAGGTAGCACCTTCGAGCTGGGACAGGTTTCTTTGCAGCAACACAATCTTCATCCTTGCCTGTGCTACAGTGCACTGGCCTCCAGCTGGCTCCTAAGCCGCACGTTGTGGAGCACTGCAACACAATACACAATTAACTGCCCTGCTCTCCCCCGTGTAGGGTTACCAACCCTCCAGGACTGGCCTGGAGTCCACAGGAAGGAAAGATTAATTTCCAATTAGAGATTATGTCGTATGATTACACCTCCTGGAATATGTCCCACCCAGTGTGGGAACCTGACCCGCTTGTGAAGCCAACGTAAGAGCTGGTTTAGCCACAGCCTTTGCGCTGGGGGGCACAGGCTGGCTGAGGGGGAGCATAAGGCCCCAAAGGGGGCTGGTATAACTGCACCCTCTGTGCACCAGCCAGAGGGTGGTGTAACAGCGTAACAGCGTGTGTGCTCACCCATGCTCTGGGAAGCGCTGGCCTCCTTCCCGCTCCTCATCTCCACCCTGACCTGCCCGCCTCTGTGCATAACCCCAGCTGCTACGCACTAGCAACTCCCTCCAGCACGGAATGCCTTCTGCCACGGCGTGGGGCAATGCACAGCTGTGAAATACGCCCCTTTTCTGTATGCCCAAGACCATGGGGGGGGGGGGTGAAGGGAGAGCTGGGAGAGTCAAGCCCCCAAGCCCACTCCTTCTGCCCAGGCCCCAGCATCACGGGGAGGTGGGGCGGCATGTAGCCTGAGCCTTCCCGGCCCCAGAGCACGGAGAGGGAGGAGGGTGCATGGCCCCCGCCTCTCTGCCCCCAGCAGGCATTCTGGGGGTGTTGTTTGCATGGGGGCAGGTTGGTGGTTTGGGAAGGCAACGCCTTCCCCCTGCCTACGCTATCCACTGCCCATTCCCAAAACAAGCACCTGCCGCCACAAATGCCCGCTAAGGGGATGAGACGGTGCCCGGGTTCCCTTTTCAAGCTGTACTTGCCTCACTCCATTTCCCAACTTCCCAGCTGGGGTCGTCACTTCTGCCTCCTCCTGCTTCTGCTCTGGCAGGCTGAGCATGGGGAGAGATGTTCCAAGGTCTCCATCCCCACTGGCGAATAGCCTCAGAGTGCCCCATGGTGTGCTCTCGCCCCGGCTTGTGCTTTCATTTGGGTCTGGCACATCAGAAAACACACTCGTGGTATAAAGAGTCATCTTTCCTTCATTTGCTTCCCTCTCCGCCCACCCTGCCGTGGTTAACTCAGCTGGCAAAGCGGGCAACGTCCCTTCTGGACTGGCCCTGGGGCTGGGCTCGGAGGATATTGGCGGAGCTGGTGCCTGGGTACCCTGATGGGCTAGACTATTTGATGTCCATGTCCAGCTTTCTGGAGTGAATGGCTCACGCGCGTGGGGAGGCATGGACCTCAGGCGGGAAAGAGCTGTCACGCCTGTTCGCATGCCAGGAGTCTGAGATGCAGCACTGAGATCATCTTGCCAATTCTGCACATCCTCTGCAGGAGGAGTGTGGTCAGCTGGTTCTCCGTTACCAGGATTGTAAGAGCTCATAGTGGGGTCAATATCTTCACTCCTGCCTCCTGCTTCCTGTTTAGAACTGGGTTCAGTGGAGATCAAAGGGGTGTCGTCTGTTGCAGGAGGCAGCGGCTTTGTTGTTGGCTGGGGAGGCAGGTTATGTGGGGGCCTGTTCATGTCTTCACTCTCCACTGTTGCCGTTATACTGGACAGTGCTGTCTCATCTTTGGTTTTGGAGGCAGCATCACCATCACCAATGGTGACCAAATCCCTTTCACTGGTATCCTCCTGGCCCTTCCGGGCAATACCAGCCAAGCCATCATCTTCCTTGTCATTGTTAACAGGAGCCTCTGTGCTTTGACCATCCTCTCCTCTGCTTCCAGGCTCTGCTGTGCTTCCCCAAATGCCAGACATCTCTTCTCCACCACTGCGGCCCTTGTCAGCTGGCAGGGGTGGAGGGGGGATGGCCAGATAAGGATAACTGAGAGACGGGGTGGTGATGGTTGCATCCTCTTCAGAAATGGTACTTGTCAGCAGGGCTCCTGGGGGCTTATCAGTGGACAGATAAGCGTGGCTGTTTATAGAATCAAGCCTTGTTCCTCTCTCAGTGGGTGGATCATCTCTGGACAGTGGCGTGTGTGTTTCTTCCTCCTCCCCCCTAAGGTAGGAGGAAGTTATGTAGAGGGCAGTAGTGGCTCTGCTAACCTCATGTGCATCAGTTACACTGAAGAGAGTTGTATCGTGTTGAACCCCTGCGTTTTCCTTTTCTTCATTGTGTCCATCGGCTGAAGTATTTGTCTCACTACTTGCTAAGTTTCCTTCATTGGGTTCTCCTGGTTCTGCATGATATGGAATGCTAGGAGACATTTCATTAGACTCCCCCAGGTTATTAGTGGCTTCACCCCCAGGCCCTGGTTCAAACCCCTCACTCTTAATGTCTTTCTCAGCAAGCGGGTCATAGGACAGATCTTCATGGAAATTGATAAAATTGTAATCGTAGTAAAAATCATCGACAAAGACGTTTCCCTTTTTGTTACTGCTGCCTGGAAAATCCTCCTCAGTGATGACATTCTCATCTTTGGATTGTGGATGATTCGGCATTGGGGGGCTAAAGTGGGAAATGTGGTGAGTGGGAATGTAATTTATCTCATTAAATAGTTCTCTACTGGAAGAGCCGCTGCCAGACCAGTCAGTGTTGCTATTTTCTATTTTCTTCTGGCATTGCTTCAGGGAGCAAGTTGTTTCTGAAGGTGGTCTCTGTGCAGGATCACAAGTTGTTTTATTATCATGATTGCAATAAACAGAGCGCCCCTGTGTTCCGTTTCCACATGTGACTGAGCACTAAAAAAGGAAAAGAAATGAAAATCTCACAAACGCGAGCATGAGAAACAGAATTCAGGAATCATAATAGGGGTGTGGGCATGATCATACAATCATGGGTGTGGTTATGCAAATGAGATGATTTAATGGGCACCCGGGAGTGATTATGCTAATATCAGTGCTAGCTCTCTGAGCCTATAACACCAGAAAACACTTGAACAGAGCAAAGTGCTCATGTACTTAAAAGTTTTGTACCTCCTCCATATTATGACACTGCGTACTACTGGGCAGAGATACAGTATCAGGTAAACTGTATATTATAAAAAAAAGTCTAGTAGTGAGTCTATAGTTAAAGGTCGTTCATATTTCTGTTACAAACAATGTTGCTGATTGTATTTGTATCTTGGGCTATTTTGCTTCAGGCTGAAACTTGGCCTACACGTTGGGCAGAAAAAATTTCTGGGAGTTGGGGTTTGTGGAGGGTGTGGGCCTGGTAAATGGAAAACCCAGGATTAAGAAGATGTTTTGTTGAGGAAAAGCATATAATGGACCCATTGATACTATTCAGTATAAAAGAGGCCCACAAACTGGAAATAAGGTCAGTGAAATTATCCTATACAATATGTAACTCATACGTCCATTAACATCACATTTGCTCTGAATGAGCCACAGATCGTTATGCTTAATTAGAACTGATTTATATGGCATTAGTCATGTATAACAAAATCCCTAACATAATCAAATCAGAAAAGCAAACCTAAATCCAGGGGATTTCAATGGAAATACCATCTAGTTGGGTTGACAATCTCTCAATGTAGGCAAGCACTTAACTGACACTGAGCAAAGCGAGGTGATCAGAATTCAAGGGGAATGGCACAGGTTAAGTTCGCAGACTATCCGCAGAGTATAAGCGGAGGGTCTGTGCTTGGGGACAGACCCATACGAAGATGTATGGGGATGGGTGTGAGTACATTACATACGTGCAAAGGCGCGTGCAGTTCCCCATGCTGCTCGGGGCCAAGCTGGCCCTTGGCATGTTAATAGCTCTCTGAGGGGCCAATAAGGCAGCTGGGGAGTGCAATCAATGGAGTGGAGAAAACATCCTCTCCTACGGCACGCACTGTGGGGCTTGGCTCTGAGGAGGTGCACAAATAGCCGTGTATCCTGGAGAAATTCTAGCTGCCCAGTTAGGGCTGTGAAATGGACCATTCTTGTCATCAAACCCCAACCTGCAATTAAGCTGACCCATCAAAATTGGCAATACAACCCCGCCCCAGGTTATATTTTCATGTTTAAATCATTGAATATATATTTTTAATGTCCTGTGGAAAGTTTTAGTAAAAATGTAACTTTGGGGGAATTTATCTCCCCCATGTAAAAATTCTATTTTTGAAAAATAGACAAATATCTAAGAAAAACACATTACTGAAAGTGAATAGAAAGAGGAATAACATTTACAAAAAAGATTAACCCCACCCATCCCACTCTTGAAAGCTACATTTTCATGGAGAACAACTATGTTAAATGCAATCTATTTGAAATACTGTACATCGGCACAGCTTTAACAAAGCCTGCTTAGAAAAATGCTGGTGGGATTCCTGCTTTCATTTCTTATGCTCCACTTTCCAGTTTACACTTAAAACAATTATTGTTGAGATGACTCACAAGGAAGTTGTGTGGGACAAGCTCAGAACGGGCACTTAACCCCCAGCATTATGAGAATTCCTCTGCTCCCTTGATTGGGCTGGCTGATTTACCTGTTTAAATGGCCATTAATAGCAGGGCCTCAGGTAAGATGGTCAGTGAACGGTCTGTGCCGTGCACCGAGTGTACAGCCATACACTCTAGCTTGCTCTCTTTTTTAATAGAAAAGAGTCAGTTTCCAAGTCATGGCCACATGTCCATGTACGGAGCAGTCAACCGCCCATGGATAAGGGGCTGTATACGCGACAATTAGAAACCAGTGACTGGCCCATGCCAATTGATTCAGGCTTGTGGGCAGGGCAGCAAGACTTGTCAGGTCCCTGGGCAAGGTGTGGGAGGCTGGCTCTGGCAGAATGGGCAGGACTGAAGCTGGCTGCCCCCCACCAGCCTCTTGGAGTGTGCTGTGTGGGGCTCCAGTGGCTATTTAAAGGGTCCAGGGCTCCAGCTGCTGCCACAGTAGCAGCAGTGGGGGCTGGGAGCCCTGGAGCCTTTTAAATTCCCATGTCCTGGGGCAGCTGTTGGCAGGCTCTAGGATCCTGTGAAATGGGAAGGTCCCAAAGCTTGGGCTGCCGGCTGAACCCGAAGGCCTATGCTGCAATTAAACAGTCTCTGAGCCTGAGCCCCTTAGCCGGAGCTGGATGGCACAGGACAGTGGCAGGCAACATGGACAGACCCGCAGCATGTACGCACACACAAACTCTCCGGCTGCCCCGGCCCACTGGGTTGCAATGCGCTCAGAACATCGGCAGGATGCTGCCCACATCTCGGGTGGAAACTTGTGCTGCTGCAAAATATGTCAAGGGCTTTTGAAGCTTTTTTTTCCTGTTACTCTAGTTCTTCGCACCAAGCAGGGAGCAGTCACTAGACTCTGATGGAGGAACCAGCCAAATTTGAGGAAGGAAAGAGATTGTAACAGTCTCGGGGAGATTCGCAAACCTGCCTTTCACGTGAGCCGACTTGGAGAACTTCAGCTCCTCCAAAGGACAGCGAATTAAAATGAATTTGAATGTTTAAATTGTCAGGACTCCAGCTATTTCCGGAATGTCTGACAGGTGATGTTAGAAAGGGAACTAGACACTTGCCCCCACCCTCCAACCTGAGTTTTCTGTCTGAATTCCTCTCCTTTCCCCCTCTTTAACATGCTTTAATCTGAGTCAGCCCCTGCGTGAAGTGTTTCACACTAGATTTTTTAGGATGCCATGATTGTCCAGAGGGCAATGAGGGCCTGTTGTGCTTTGCAAGGGAATGCAGTGCGGAACAAGCCACCTGAATTCAGGATTAGCTGTCTAGATCAGTGGGTCTCAGTTTCATTTCCAAACCCCTAACATGTTTCAAATGGAGGCACAGACCCCTTTGGAAATCTTAGACGTTGTCTGAGGACCACCACAGGTCTGCAGACCATAGGTTGAAAACCATTGTTCTATGGTAACGACAACCTTTTGCAGACTCCTTAGCCACAGTTTCGGTGGTTGAGAACTGCTGCTCTAAGGCTAGTCTTCACTATGGGGAAGACTGATGCTGCCGTAATCAATCTTCAGAATTTGATTTAGCAGGCCTAGTAAAGACCCACTCAATCGAACTCAGAGGGTGCTCCCATAGGTGCCGATATTCCTGCTCCTTGCAAGGAGTAAGGGAAGCCGACAGGAGCATTTGCTCCCATTGAACTCCCTTTAGTGTAGACCTGGCCTATAGTCTTGTCTATACTTACCTGGAAGGTCAAATTAAGAAACACAACTCCAGCTACGTTGCCCTCTGAGTTCCATTTAGTGGGTCTTTACTAGACCCACTAAATCAAACTCTGGAAGATTGATTGCAGCAGTGTCAGTCTTCCCAGTAGTGAAGACATGGCCTTAGAGTCACTGTGTTTCCATTAGAGCCTCGTGTTTCCCAAGAAACTGACACTCCTGTGTTCTTTACCCTTTGACTTTCTCACCTCAGACCAGTTGCCCACGGCCCATTGAGCAGGACAGAGGATATCCCTGTGACAGGGCGCAGCGGCGTCTGGCTTGGAGAGATGCTGACACTCGGTGTGCAGCAAAGCCCGCTGTTCATCGAGCCCCACACTTTGAATGCAAAGGACTGTCCGCTTCATGAGCCCACCTTCGCCACAAGTGGCAGAGCATGTCTGCCACTCACCAACCCACCACCTAGGAAATGAAAGGGGAAAAGGTGGGAGCTGATGTGAGCCTTCACATTCGCAGGCTTGTTGCTCACGAGCGGGCACGATCCCTCCTCCTTGGTATTGCAGTACACGGAGAATCATGTGGCGTTCGAGGTGCCACGTTCTGACCTGCATTTTAAACATGCCAATCTGCCAGGGCAGTGGGCTCCCGGCGTGAGGCACGGCTGTAACCACAGAAGCCATTTGCAAAGCTCCGAGGCTAGTTGGGACTTTTGCAGACTCTCTTGCTCTTCTGTCTCGAGGTCCATCTATAAAGGAGGCACTAGGGAAACATGGCTCCTGATCAGGTTTTCCATTTCAACCTCCCCCAAAGTTCAGGGTGTTTGGATTCAGGATCGGTGCCTGAGGTCATCTGCTGTACAGTGCGGCATAAATTGTCACAGGCACAAACTCCAGGGCCGGAGCACCCACCGGTCAGCACCTCCCCACTCCCCAGCGCCACTGGTGGGCCCTGCAGACAGAGGATATGTCTACACTGCCACCCTAGTTTGAACGGGTGGCTAATGTAGTGATTCAAACTTGCAAATGAAGCCTGGGATTAAAATATCCCGGGCTTTATTTGCATGTTCCCAGGCACCGCCATTTTTAAATGCCCGTTAGTTCAAACTCCCTGCCCGCGGCTACATGTGGCATGGGCTAGGTAGTTCGTATTAAAGCTCCTAATTCGAACTACCATTACTCCTCATTGTAGGAGGAGTGTAGACATAGCCTGAGCTATCCTGTCCACAGGACAGTTCAGGGCAGCTGCCCCAGGCCCTGTGTTTTGGGGGACCTTCGGGCAGCTTCCTCAACTGTCCTATGGACAGAATGGTCCTCCACATTGAGCTTTGCGCCAATCCCATCTGTGGGGCCCAGGATGGATTGCGGGAGGACCAGGAGTCCCGGGGTTGGCAGCAGGGATTGCTCTAGCAGCCTTCCCCACTCCACGGCCATCTCCCAGTTGGGTTACTCTGCTTTCCGCGGGCTTGGGGGAGTGGTGCGGGCTGGGGCCTGGTCACTATAATTCCCGTCGTCACAGTGAAACAGAGCGACCCTGCTGCCGCCCACGCCAGGCCTCCTGGTCATCCCCCGGCTTGCGTTGCTCAGGGGAGGGAACGTTGGGGACAAGCTGCAGTGGGGGCGGCAGAAGGCAGAGCAGGAGTGGGAAGAGGCAGGGTGGGACGGAGCCGGGGAAGGACTTGCGGGAAGGGATCGAGTGGGGGCTAAGCGGGGGCAAGGAGGGGGGGACAGAGGCAGGGCAGAAGCAGGGCTTAGGGTGTGGGGGCTTTGTCCTGGGCCCCACTCCCCGCTCCCTCCTTAGGGACAGCCCTGTCTGTGGATCAGCACCTCCGCCTCCCTCCCTGCCTCTCCAGCCTGTTGCAATCAGCCGGTTTGAGGCGCTCAGGGAGCTGAAGGGCAGGCGCGAGAACGCAGTGTGCTCAGGGGCGGGGTCAGAAGTGGGTGGGCAGAGCAGGGGTGGGGCCTAAAGCAGAGCTGGGGGGTGGAGCACAGCCGGCGCTTTGGAAAGCCGGCGCCTGTGTGAGTTACCGTTCTCTCCAGAGCAGCGTAAGAGTTCATGGCCCTTTCTAGCAAGGTCTAAACCCAAAGGAGCTCAGGCCTGGGTACTCTTAACATCATCCATCGATTTCAAGAGGAATTAGGCACCTCAATACCTTGGAGCCTCCGTCTGCAGCCCAAGCGGCAAACTCCTGTTCACATAGGACATCAGAGAGGCTCTGCGGAGGAGCATGTGTGGAGCCAGTTGCAGGACTGGGGCAGACTCCTTACCAGAGGCCAGGGTGGAAAGAGTCAGACTCAGCACCCTGGAGCCCCCAGGCCACTGTCGCTCCACTGACTTGGGATGCTGATTTGCACCAGCCCTCCTGCCCCTCCGCTAAAGTTGTGAGAGCAGCCCAGGGTGGAGGAGAATGAGAAGGTGGAAAACCAAAGGAAAGCAAACCTGGCTGGGCAGGGCTCTTCGCTACACGTCCTCTGCTTGTCGTCAGGTCGGGTTAACGAGTCACAGTACCGTTCCTCCACTATCCCAGCTGCCTTTTCAACACAGTGCACAATCTGTCTCTGAACACCTGGAGACGGAGAGAGGCGGCAAGCAGGGGTTCAGTCGGGCAAGCCCGAAAATAGCTGTGCCGTGTCACGCGCGGAGCGTTTGAGCTGCACACCTGTGGGAGCAGTTCCCAGCTGCCCCCCTTTGAGGAGGCTGGAGGCATGGAATGCTGTAATTAAGTGGCCTTGGAATGAAGCGAGTTGGGCCCGAGGTCAGCAGGTGTCAGGTTCAGACTGCAGCACGCCGAGGCAGACACATGCACCGCACGTACCGTAAAGAATTAACAACCAATGCCTTTGTCTGAGCTTTCCCTTTGCTAGACACCTCCCTCCCTCGACTCCCAATTTTAAATGAGCCAAATAAAAGGAGCCTATAAAAAGTAAAAAAAAAGAGAATAATACTGACAATGTAGGAGGAATACAATTAACTACCCACAATAGATCCTTTAAAACAGTAAGCTACATTAACATCAATCAGGCACATGCGTTGTGTGGGTTTACTTGCATTTCATTAGCTCCCAAGGTGGTTTGGCCATTAAAATCCATTGCTAGCAGGTTACAGGAGGCCCTTGTGTAAACCTGACTTACTAAGAAGGAATTAATTTTTTAAAAATTAAACTACTTGAAAAGTTTGTTTCTGCAGCGTTTGTCCATGATGCCTGCCCAGAATCTTTCACACAACTCACAAAACTCACAAACCGTCAACTTTCTGTTCAGCAGCCACTCAGTTTTGCTCACTCTTTCACTCATCTGCACTGGGACAACCTGTTGGCAGAACAATGCTTGCATTGTCCACGTATGTGAAAAGGGCAGGAGGAAACCCAATATGTGACATGTTATCACGGTCAGATTTCTGGAACTGCACAGTGCTGGAAAAGCAGAAAAGAAACCTGGACACACATCTCCCAATAGCCAGTGCAGCATAGAGGTGGAGGGTTAGAAATAGTACCAATCCATCTCTAAAATAAAAAAACTATAGCAGGCAATATTCAATTTTCCCCTGGGAAGTAAGATGTATTATCTGTTTAGCTAGAATGAGATAAATTCTTAGATTCAGACTTTTAGATCAAAGCTAGGGCACTCCATTCAGAAACCTATAGATCAATGGTGGACAGAGCTTGTAAACTTTTAGCTGTCAAAAGAAAAAAAAAGAAAGAAACGTGTCAGATTCCATGTGGTATGTTAATCCATTCTGAAAGTGTGAGGAATACATTTCTCACTCCTACTGACTTTTTATAGAAGTGTAGGACTAGAAGGGACCAATAGATCATCTCGCCCAGTCCCCTGCACTCAAAGCAGGACTAGTTATTTTATTTTGTTTAAGGAAAACAAGGAAGAAAGAACCAGTATAAAGTCTCCATAAGAGAATTACCACAGTGGCTCACTCTGTTGAGGTCTGCATCTGCACACAGTCCACTTGCAGCCATCAGAGAGCCCATTCTACTTTAAAGTTCCAGCACACAAAGAAGTCGACTGATCCTTTCTCCTTTTAACTGTGCAACATGCAGGTTTCACTAATGGAAAAGCCATGTGCAATATGGTTTAGCAATCAGGTAAATGGCACACAGCCCCTTCTGTCTGTGGGGGCACAAAGTGACTGCCTCCAAACCAAGCATTTCTGAACAGTGGAGACTGAGAAACAATGCCGGTAGAAACAACAAAGAGTGGCACTTTAAAGACTAACACATTTATTAAGGCACACATGTAACATACTGAAATGATAATTACTCCAATGGAGAGGTGTGTGTGTGTGTGTGTGTGTGTGTAATTTTCCCTAGACAAAATACTGGGCCTCACAAAGTCCATAGGAGTTTTGCTTAATTTTTCAGCCCTCCAGGTTATTTTAATACAAGTGTTTGCATGAACAAACATGTATCTAACCACTTATTCGTAACCTTGACTATCTCAAATAGGAAGCATCTGGTGAAAGGATAAGCAAGATCTCCTGCTGACTCTTCCTGCAATGGGCATGTTGTTCATTATTACCTATGACAACATTGTGTATGACAAACTTCATTTCCTTTCAATTATAAATAGCTGAAACATTACCCCTCCAGCTGTGAGCCAATCTCTCAGCAGGTGGAGGGAACTGCACCATTCAGCAAGCTGAAGTGTTTCTTAACTTGAAAGCATTGATAGCTTTTGATGCTTTATACATATTGTTATAAGAAAGACAGGAGAAGTAATTCCCCTGCTCTACTCTGTGCTGATTAGGCCTCAGCTGGAATATTGTGTCTAGTTCTGAGTGCTACGTTTCAGGAAAGATGTGAAGAAAGTCCAGAGAAGAGCAACAAAAATGATTAAAGGTCTAGAAAACATGACACGTGATGGAAGATTGAAAAAAACTGGGGCTCTGTCTAAACTACACTGAACTACAAATGTGCTCCGCAATTTGCATACCTTTTTTCGATAGTTTTTTTGGAAGAGGCTTTGATAGCAGAACATTCTAATAACAAAGATGGTACAAAATCTTTTCCGCAGGATAACAGGAACACACCGGCCCCTCCTAAGAGATAAGGTCAGGATGACAGTATGCAACAGAGATGCTCTGATCGAACCAGCATCTACAAGGTGATGGGTGATAACTAGTGACATCAGGGGACAGTAGCTATGTCAGAGGGGCAGATAATTGTTGTTAACAGGGTATAAAGATGTATGTATGTATGTATGTATGTATGTATGTATTTAAAATATTTGTACCCTGCCCCTCTATTTAAAATATTCAAGGCAGCTTACAAAATTTTTAACACGCAATACATAAATATGTATCTCAGAGGGTGTGTCTTTGTCTAGACTAGGGAGGAATGGAAAGTCCTGCCATTCACTGAGCCACTGGTCCATTGTCATAGGCTTATATGTATTAGTGGTCTGGAGAGCCTGCAGGATACTAATACCATGCCTTGTTGACAATAAACCTGGCTGGATGCCTTTGTCCCTTAACGTATCTTGTGGTTATTGGGCAGTTCATACAAGATCTGCTGTGCCAAAGGGAACACATATGCAGCCAAACATCCAACACCATATAATCAGTTTATTCGTGGAGTTCCAATTTATTATTTTTCTGCCAGTGCTTCTAATTCCTCTAATTTGGCTCAGAAACATTTTCACACTTTTGTTTGTTTATTGAGAACTAGCACACTCAAGAACATTCACTAATTGGGTGTTTTTTTCCCTTATGAAAAATGTGTGGAAACCTCACTAAAATCTCCAGTATCTGGCAGGAGAACAGAGAGCTCAGCTTAGCATGGGAGCTATGCGCCAGTCGTTCCCCCATCATACGGCTGGATTTGTGAAGCTCACCCATAAATGTCTATATGCACCAGCATTGGAGACGGCGTAAATCAACACAGTGATGTGACGGGCACTCTGCTGATTTACACCAGAGGAGCACCCCTCCATCAGTCATCTACCCTAGCTTCTTCACGCAGCCTTGGGTGGCCTCTCCGCTGACAAAGGCTGCCACCAGTAAACGCTCATTAGGCCCAGACCACAACTCCATAAACTGCAGGTCACAAAAATGAACGAATAAATAAATAAATAACCTCCCCGGTTTGACATCTGCTTGCTTTGTCCTCTGGCAGGCAGCTGGCGGTAACAAAACCTAGCCTAACAGGCAGATTTAATTTTCCTTGGAGGTGACCTTTGACCTATGGAGCAGGACCAGTGAATTTAATAGGACCACAAGATAGTTTCACACAAGCATTCCTGTTAACAGCATGTCTTGCTCCATCCTAAACACTGTCCTTAGCTGGGAAAGGGAGTAATTCATTACTACCCAGGAACCAAAGCAGAACGTACGGCAAGGCCCAAGGCTCTGAAATGCCTTGCAGACATGGATATTGTTTCAGAAGGTCACTGTATATCAACGTATGTGTTCCTGCCAGTCCTTTTCCCAGGAGCTTCTAGAACTGGAAAGAGACATGTTTTCTGACACAGAGACACTTCCCAAGTTTGGTGTAAAAGAATAAATAAATCAGCAGTTCATTAGGTGCATACGGAGTAATGGGAACATAAGACAGACCAGGGCTAGAGTCTTTCTTGGGTATGTCTAGACTACATGGCTCCATCGACGGAGCCATGTAAACTAGTTTACCCGGCATAGGCAAAGAAGCGGGGATTTAAATAATCCCCGCTTCAATAAAATAAACATGGCCGCTGCGCTGTGCTGACGATCAGCTGATCCGGCTCAGCGCGGTAGTCTAGACGCGGATCGGTAGGCTGGGAAAGCCTTTGCCGACTGACCCTGTAAACCTCATTTCACAAGGCATAAGGGATCAGTCAGCAAAGGCTTCCCCAGCCGACTGATCCGCATCTATACTGCCGCGCTGGGCCGGATCAGCTGATCATCGGCACAGCACGGCAGCCATGTTTATTTTAATGAAACAGGGATTATTTAAATCCCCGCTTCTTTGACTATGCCAAATACACTAATTTACATGGCTCCGTCAACGGAGCCATGTAGTCTAGACACATCCTAAACGATTAAGCCATTAGCTGAATTCAACAATTATTTAATCAGCTGATCATCGGCACAGCACGGCAGCCATGTTTATTTTAATGAAGCAGGGATTATTTAAATCCCCGCTTCTTTGCCTATGCGGGGTAAACTAGTTTACATGGCACCGTCGACGGAGCCATGTAGTCTAGACATACCCTCTGAGGCCAGGTCTACAGTAGACCCAGCAGCTCAGCATAAGGTATGCCCTTAAAGGGGCACGGTCTGGCTACAGTGCTTGTGCCAGGTGCAAGCCTGCCAGCACCCAGCCAGCAGATCCTGCACCCGGCACAAG